AGACCTCCATGCTCCTTATTCTTCCTTAAAATTCTTCAATATGGACCACACTTTTTTCCTTAAAACAAGGCTTCCTAGCTCTCCCGAGACATGCCTTCCCAGTGTGAGCTGCCAAAGACTTGCCAGCTAACCTGTTCTTCAGTGGAGCTTGTAATAAATCCACAAAGCTGTACTGAGCATTACACAGAAGAATGAGGCAAATCAAATAGGGCAACAGCCAAGAAAGCACACACATCTGTCACCTTGCTGAGTGAATGGCCCTCGGGGCAGGGCCAGCGCTCTTATAGCAAACTGCTGCTAAGCCCCTATATAACCCTTAAAAGTAACCTTCCAGCGTGCCAAGACGAGGTAGAATCATAGAATGGTTTGGGTTGGAAGGGACATCAAAGATCATCTAGTTCCAACCCCCCTGCTGCGGGCAGGGACACCCTCCACTAGATCACGTTGCCCAAAGCCTCATCCAACCTGGTCAATGATACCTGCAAGATGTAATGAGATGATACCTGCAAGATCTCAGCAGAAGTTAGGTGCAGGGAGGACAGGCCAGTGAGCTCCAATTTAAACAAATGGCCCAGGTTGCTACGGAAACCTCAAGGATGGAAAAGCAGCACTTCGAAAACAAAACATAGTGAGGCAGATTTCATATCCACTCTGAAAAGGTTTATGACCAGAAAAGGCAAAGTGGGTGTTAAATGCCGTTTAGCTAAGTCAATAGTAGCAGCACTTAACAGGGAGGCATTATGGATTCGCAGCACCCATCACACCTCTTCTATCCCAAACCCCAGGAGAAGAGTCTTCTGTACTTTGCCAGTAGTAGGGTATGAAAATTCTGGTTTCTTAACCCCTTCCTGCCACCCCATCTCCTTCTACATTACCGCTGTAGCTATAAATTACTATATGTAGCCATACTAAGCCCATCAGTCATGACAAGTGGAAAATATATAGCTAGAATTAATCTGACACAGGAGGAATACAATTATCTATGGCTTTAAAGTTAATCAAAACTGAAAATCCTGAAGAAGTGGTTTCTTCCTAGAAAAAAAAATGCAGCAGAGAAATGACGGAAATTTACTATTGATCTTAAATGGCATGTGCTCAGATCAACCTAGTGTGGCCCTACAGCACTGTCTTCAATCGGATATACTCTCATCTCATCAAGAGTTTGTGCTTGAGTATTCACGTATTCTGTGACAATTATTATTGCAAGTAGCACAGAGACAGAGCAATTCCTGCTACCAGTATGGTTCATTAATAATGTTATTGTTTATATAGGTGTTAAATAAATGAATGGTTACATATTGTTGATAGAACCAGTCGCCCTTTTTTCAGAACAGCTCCATCCTGCACGTTCCCTTGGGGTGGCAGGCCACCATCCATCCTTACCAAAGACAGCTTCCAGTCATCTGCTCCTTATCATCAAGCCTGAGGGCCATTATATTTCGGAAAAGGTGATGGCTATTTTGGCAAAGGGCATCTTAACTGGGGTAACTAGGAGACTCAATCTATTTGAAAGCCACAGACAATGAACACTTTTGAGGAATGCAGCTCTTCAGCTTTTCTTGGAAGAGACACACATTGCTGAAAAATAACATTTCAGAATGAAGAAATAGAAAAAAGTAAACCCACAGTTTATGTCTTCTGCATAAAAATATCATCACACAAGCAGCAGCAGGGAGCATATGACAAGTAACTAGAGATAAATATGAACAAATGACAATGGGAGTGAGAGGGGGAAAGGAAAAGGCTACGAGAGGCATTTTGCAAGACACAGGAAGAATACAGGGAATACAGAAAATAAAATTCATAAGCGCTCTGTGGGCAAAGCAGCTCTTAGCATCTGCTCCACTGCCTCATATGGACAGACTACTCCAGGCTTGGATGGGCGAGTCTGGTGATAACAGCAAAATAAAAAAACCCAGGCAACCTCCAACACTTCCCCCCACCCCTGCCCCGAATCCTTTGTGTGCGTATAAACCTTTGTTTTCAGATAAATAATATATTTTACTTTAATGTCATGAATTTTGCGTTTAAACCTTTTTTCAACAAGCTGTTGGCTGGGAATATTGTACTGTCAAAACAATCCTGGGAAGGAAGAAAGCCTTGTAACTGGAAAATAAATCTTTTGGGTAGCATTTTTAGAAATATTGTTTTCTAATCCATATAACTAGGGGCAAGGTTCCTCTAGCTATCTTCAAGTTAAAAGAATGGAACCTAACTATATATTTACCCTTCTAAATACATTACCCTCTGCACTTGACTCCAACAGCAGAAACAGCTGAATACTAGCATAAAAAAAATTTTCAAGTTGCCCTGGTGATATAAAAATTTTTAAGTGCTACGAGAACACCATCAGGCTCAAGACATAAATCTCATTTTTGCGCACATCCGTTTTGAGAACTGTAAGAGTGCTTGCAGCATTCAGGAACAAATTTCTACCTATAGAAAAAATGTCCCTGCAGAAAGCTCTCCTGAGAAGATGTTGTGGGCTGGAATCTCCTCTGCTCCAAGCCATTTCCTGCTGCCCTGGCAGGCAGGAGGTTGCAATCTGCTGCCACCTGGCTACGTGACTTTTTTGGGAGGAGGTGGGGGGAGGAAGGAAGGACCCACAAGTTCCCAGCTGACAAAGAAACTTGACCTCTACGCCAACTGTTCCCCTTGCAGCCAGGGCATTCAGGACAGGGGAAGGAACGATGCCATGTGCCTTCTCTCCACTGTCCACCAGATTTGGATATAAGCAGCAGCACAGTCGACACATGAGAGAGAGCAGAACACAGCAGACACTGGCAACAAAATGGTATTGCCCCAAGAGAGCTCCGTGGGATGCAGCATTTCTCTTATAAATCATTTTATTGTTGGGGAGGAAACCTTGGTCATCTCCCAGATCAAAGGAAGTAAAGAAACTAAAACACAATTTGCTAACGTTATAAAACTGAAACTGAGAAAGCAAGTGAAAAACTGTTCTTCCGCAACAGTATCAGTCTCCAGAGCCCTACCATCAGTTACGTGTCATAGCATCATTGAATTCAAATGAGCTGCAATTTCCATAGGCTGAGGTTTGGGGGTTTAAAAGTTTCCCTCTAGTCCCCATCTCCTGCTCTCTCTTGCAGCACAACTGCTCTTAACACAATATGAATAAGTGTAGCTTGTATGAACTAATAAAGGCTAAAGTGTCCTTTGGTTAAGGAAAACCACTCTCTGTCAGGACTGCCAAACCTGGGCACACATACAGGGATGTGCACAAAGCTCCAGTTACCCAAAGAAAGTAAACATGAAAGTAAGCGTCTGCCTCCTTCAACACTAATGCTCAGGAGATGCATCACAGACCCCAGATTTTATATTCAAATGCAAAAAATTAACATTAAATATACTCCAAAAATGTATTTTTATACAAACTGGGATGAAAGCGAAGATAATATTAGATAACAAAGTAAGTTTTCTAATAGCATTCATTCATGTATGAATGCATTTATAGCATGCATTCATGTATGGTGCTTTAGGTAGAGAAGCTGCTTCTGGAGTTGTCTGATATACAAAGAAAATTATTCTGCCCAATTTCAGAGCACAGGGATTGAAAAGGCTCAATAGTCTGTCCTTTAGGTCATCAATAACATTAAAACATAGGCATAATTGAGTATTACTAACTCGACTGCTCTCATCACATAAGAATTTTAAACTACAGTAAATGCTGGCTTAGAAACAGTAACACCAACTTATTCTTGCACTGAAGAGGAATGCTAGCTTGCTTAACAATGTTAACGTGTTACAAGGCATAGAGCATTTACTCATGCTTAGATCCTACTTCAGGCAGAAAGCGAAGACATACCAAACCTGTATTTTGATCCAATAGAGTGGATGCCATTTAGCTGCAGTGAGAACTTAACCACGTAGGCAGCATACCTTACAACACCCAGACAGCAGTCATTTCCTCACTGGTTCCTACCAACAGGTGAGACATACCTAGGGCAGGCAAACTTGAAGAACTGCAGCACGTCAGCCTAGAATCAGGTCTGAGCTGCTGACTGCTTCTCTGGAACATCAGAGGTTCAAGAGATAACCCTCCAAGTAATATTCTTTAATGCAATATGCATTGACCTAGGAGCTGTAGCACCAGAGTGAGCGCTGCACCTGGTGCTAATACATTCTACTTAGCGTAGCTTTGCAGCTGACTTACATTGTGATTATAATATTTTGAGTCAACATCTTTGGACAAATTATTCTGGGTATCAAATTTGGCAGCACAAGCCTGATTTTTAGAGATGCTGATATTTCCTATCCCACCTGAAATCAATTTAGCCACAACTTAGTTGTGCTAAAAAGAAACTAAGAATTTATTAGCAAATTCTGAAAGTAATGTTTTTCATCTCTTTGTGTCTATTTTCCTGCCTATGACACAGAGGTAATAGATTTAAGCCAGCAGGGATGGAGAACTATTAATACTCAAGCAACAGGCAGCTTCGACCTGGCTGATAAGGCTCGTGGCTAAGGTGTCTCTGTTGCTTGCCTTTGTATGTCTTGTCTACACGGATGAGCACTCAGGATGAAGCCTGACCACAGAGTGCATAGGAAAAGGGAGCCTTGACCCTCTGTTCTACTAGATGCTAGTGTAATTCAAGTAGTTATACAAATAATGAAACTGATTGCTTCATTGGAAAAGACACTGCAACCTACAAATAAAAAGTGATGCGCGACCCCTTGGTGAAGTGAGTAATACTCGGAGATCATCATGAAGCGCAGCTCTCTCATTTCTGTACACAGAGTGCACATACAGCTGGCTTTACATAAAAGAATCCTGTCTTGTTACTTAGAACACAGATCACTACTTGGGGGGAAAGGGCAGACAAGAGAATGTGCAAAAATAACTGCTCACTGAATCTTTCTGCTCCCGTCGGTACCTCTCAGATCTTTCACGTGCTTTGTGGTCTTTTAAGAACGATCATTGTTTTTTTTTCACAAACTTAAAGCCTGTAATTTAGTATCATCTAATAGCATATCATTTCTGAAAACAAAACAGCATTGTCCATAGAACACAGGCAGCTTCTGATTGTCAAAGATCTTCATAATATTGCTTCCTTTCCCCATCAGGTATTTCACAGCACTCTGTCCTGTAAGGCTTCCTTTAAGTCTGCAGCAATCTGAGGCTCTGGATCTGCTGTGGGTTTACATCCAACAACGCCCAAAGTGCCTCTTCACTTCCAAACTCCATCAGGTTCTGGATAAATGATCCTAAAGGTCAAGTTTATCCGTGCATCTCTAGAATGATATTCCTTAGGTACTCGATGCTGTAAGTGGCATTGGGAAAAAAACAACAAACAAACCAAAACCAAAAGCATAAGCTTGTGTATTTAAAATTCAGGTAATCAAACAATGTAAAAAAAAAAAATGCCTGTGATGGCTTTTTATTAACATTTCTAAACATTTCGGTAAGGCAAAAACTTCATGTTCTGATTGCTCAGGGCCACTGAAAACAAAAGGTCTTTGTAATTACCGTAGACTTGTTAAATTAAGTTGCAACTTTTCTATATTCAAAGTTCCTAAACTGATTTTGGTCTTTCAGCTGCAGGCTGTTACCTTCCTTGCTGAACTTTAATGCCAGAACATCTGAGCTGATTCCTATTACATCACTTAGCAGTTGAAAGAAAACCCATTGTTTCTGTGGGTGCTTTGAAATTCTGAAGCAAAAAGCATTATTAATGTGCTGGGAAGCAATTGTGTCACTGGAAGCAGAATGTCCTGTACCTTTATGGGAGTGCCTCATGCATATTTAGAAAACTGCATTGCAAGGAAAGGACACAAAGGGTGTCAAGGAGTTCTTACCTGCCAATCCTCCTGAGTAGCTCCTTCCATCATCAGCAGAGTCCCATGATCAAGTGGGATTCTTAGTCTTTCTACATAAGTATAGTCTCCATTCTCTTCCTAAAAGGAAACATTAGACACTGAAGAAGCGGGCATGTGTATTTAGTTGAAAACCAGTCCTCTATAGCAGACCTTAAAAAGCTGGGAGGAGAGAGGAGGAAAGGAAGCTCTTGCAAGATCAAGAAGTCTAACTAAACCTCTCTGTTACCATATTTCATAATGAGTTCAACAACCAGTTCCTACATCTAGTGCAAAATTCTGGAGCAAGGCTGCAAACCTTTTGGAAACATCCAGCTCTTGAAACAAACAGTTCTGTGTGGAGACATTCTGCAACAGCCACCCTGATTCCAACAGTTAACTATTTCAGCAAAGATACACATCTTCCTTCTATTCTGTATTTGTCTTGTTTGGGACATTACAGGTTGGTATAGTATTATCTGCTAGATGAAGAACTTTTCCTATCCAAAAAAATGTCATTCTTATAATGGTTGGTGGACTCCTAAAATCGTACTTGCTGAGTGTTTACGAGGCAGCAATGCCCAATTATTTAAGGCCCAGCAGCAATTACTCCAGACTCAACAAAACCTGTTACAACCAGAGTGGCATTTGTCACATTTGTCATGTGAAATTAAACTGTACTGGCTGGCAATTGTGGATTAGTACATTTCTTGGGGATACCTACAGGCCCGAGGCTGTGCCAGTGATTCAGCAAGCTCACTAAACCTCAGGAATCAGGGAGTGCTGAAGGCACTCGGAATTACCTGTAATATGTATTCTTTGTAAGGAAAATGCAAAATGTATTTTTAAACTTCTAGAATTAATACCCATTTATCTTGCTCTATTAAAAGTAAGGAGTAATGCCAAAATTATTTTCTTAAACTTCAGAGGAAACAAGGAAAAAATTTCAAAAATAGGTATTATAAACATGACTGCTGATGCAAAGCACAGAAATACCATTGCATGGCTGTTTTCTATTTCACAGGATTACATCATTTCACTTTGTGGATGGACAACAGTGGACTTATTTTTATCTCTTATTCATCTTGATTAAAAAAAAGTTCTTCTAAGATAAATGATTTAGCAGAAAACATCCTTTGGGCTTAGAAAAGTCAGTCTGTAAAAGCAGCAGTTACTTTCTGTTTTAAATGGGACATTTCTGAGATTAGTTTTACTTAGAAAACAAGATTTTTATGTCAATTGGATTTGCAGAGCCATTGAAGTTAGACAAAAAGTTTTTACTGTCTTACATGTTGTTACTAACACTGTCCACAAAATCTTATTTCAGAACTTTTATCTCTAGAGCTGATGTTAGATATACAGAAAACTTAGTTGAGTTTTACAAGTCAAGAAGTTTATGAAGGAAATTTATTCTTGACATCTAAGGAGGAAAAGACTTTTTAAAAATACTGACAACAACCGCAGAAAGAAATGCATCAGGTAACTTCTATATGGTCGCTTTGTAACTCTATATATGTATTACAAAAGCAGCTGCTTCCAAGAAGAGGTCTAGTAAAGCAACTGTTCTGCATCTTAGTATATTAGAATTTTCATAATCTTGAGTTGCGCATTTTATACACTCCAGTCTTTATGCTGTCCAAGTACACTAACTAAAACTTTTTTTTATCCTTAATTCAAGTAACTACAGTTAATAAGTGAGGAAAGCTCAGCACAAGTTGATGGGAAGCTGTGAATATAAAATCTGTACATATTCTGGGACTCCATCAAGTTTTTCTTCTTAAAATGGTATCAAAATCAAAAAGGTAAGAAAAAGAAAAGATCTAGTATAAATCTATATAAATAACCTAAGTTTATTTCTTAAGTCTCAGACAAGTTTATTGAGATAGTAGTATGAAATGGGTTCTTGATAATGTGGAAGCATCTTCTATTATAAGGAAAAGTAAATGGAAACATCCCATAGAAGAATGTATAAATAATAATGTAGTTATACATGCAAATGATGCAAAATTATTTTCAAAGGCTAAAGTCAGCAGCTCTCATGGAGAGTGCTGGCTTCTAGCCTTCTGCTTTATCTATTTGCCTATTACCAAGAGAATTATCCTTACAAAACTTCTAATCTCATACTTTTCAGGCTTCCATCTTGCTTGTACCCCTCTTTTTCAGTTTACTACTCTACCACCAGATGTGGAAACACTCTCCTCCAACAGCAAAATGGTCTCATCTATCAATACTTCTGCATTTTTACCTGTTTATTCTCACTATCTCTGACAAAATACTCGCTGCAGCTCTTTTCTTTATGGATTGAGTAAGAATGAATATCAGTCATATTGCCCTCTCCTCACGTAATCCACTTGCCCGCCTACATAGGACTATCTTTAAACTCCCTCAGTCATTCTGCAGCTGACCTAGTAGACTGCAAGTGAGGCAGCTCTAAAGCACTTGCGTCTTCCTCTCTGCTTGTCTATAGCTGCTCAAGACCTGCCAATACTGGTGGACAACACCTCCTCCTCTGCAGCCACTGCCATCAGCAAGTCTCCTTTATGCCAATCTAAAAGTTCAATCCTCGTCATCCTGATCCAAGCCTCGGTTTCTACTGTGCTCCATATATTCCCATGTTCATCTTCAATTAGGCCTGTTAGGACATGAAGGGTTATTTTTCTGCTGTTTTCAAAAGTACTAGGAGATCTTTAATTTCTGCTAGAACAGCTACTCAAGGACAGAAGCGCCGTGTTTCAGTGTTTCATTTGAAGGATGGACACATCTGAAGGCCGATTCAGAGAACACCACGAACATCCTGCTATTATCTAACACACAGGTGAAGCTCCCTCCCTTCCCCAGCACCCATCAGTTTCCTTGGTTACAGATGGAAGAAGAGCAGCCTGACAGCTGGATTTCTAACTCCTTCACACTGCAGTTTTTTGGACACCTGCACCCAACTGGTCCTTACGGCACCCAGATGTCTGCTACAGAGCAGCTCCCAGTGGGACATGGGAGCTCAGTGAGACATTAAATGTCACCCTTCACCTAACATTTCACACTCAGCTTCCCAAAAGACCTAATCAGATAACCTGGCATTGTCTCACTGAGTTGAGCAGTGATAAGCAATAGTAAACATGGTAGCAAGGCTGTATCAGAAAGACCCATCTGACACAGTGAAATCAACTCCTCTAGAGTAGGACAATTAAGTCATGTATGAGTGGGACCAGGGCCTTGAGGCTGCGTGGAGAACAGGAAGTGGTCATGATGCTGCAGAGGGGAGAGGCATGATGTCAACAAGTACGAGAGGACTTGTCAGCTAAACCAATAGATTGTGTGTGAATTGTGTATGAATCACAGCTCTGAAACAAAGCATTCACCTCAGTTTCGGTGTAGGCAGGAGCCACAACAGGCTGGGGTACAAGGAGGCAAGAAAAAGTTTAAAGTAACTTACTAGAACTAGAAAATAAAAGAAACCAGATCACTTCACTGGAGGCTTTGAACTACCAAGTAGACATCCAAAAAACCCTAGAACTCATTTAAGGTAAGGGCAAAATATTGGCTACGACCACAGAACTCATCCAAATAAAATAAACAGAAAAAGCAGCATTTAGAAGAAAGAATGCTTAAAAAGAAAAACTCCAGCAGGTAAAGTAAAACAGCTTCTGGTGTCACATTAAGTTCCATGAAAAGTCTCCTTAATTCCAGTGGGGAATTTGCTCCTGAAATACATTTGTAGCTTTCTTACACGCACTGGGCTGAAATATAAGTAGGAATTATTTCTACTTATCCACCAGGGATGCCTGCTGATGCAGATTCAAATAGACTGTGCATGTCTTTACACTCTTTTACCACCTATTATATGATAAGCACTTACTCATCCAGTACAGGACTCACCAAAAAGAAAAACAGAGGACTGAACCTTTCCCTCCCCTCACCCTAGAACAGTTTTCAAGAAAAAAATACCTCTTGCACCTACTTTTTTTTTTTACCAAGAAAAAAATGCAGAGAAAGGATAAAAAGTTTTCCTTCTGTGACAGTTTCAGAATGGCCTATGTAAACTCCAAATTCTTACCAGAAAAATGTCAAAATTCACACATACATACACAAAAAACACAACCTACCAACATTATTGGTTGTCTTTGCAGTTAGAGAAATAGGATTTTATTCTATAAGTTCATCCACGTTTCAAGATATAATGTGGAAAATATTTGTACAGATACCAAAATGAACTGAAGGCTCTGATCTAGTATTCTTCAATAGCACTACAAGATGTTACCTGATGCGTGGTACATACTGTTTTGTACCCAGCACATGATCACATGCAGGCAACTGCTTTAGGTTTTTTTTCCAGTAACACTTACTTACAGTGAGCTTCTGCCACAGCATTTCTCATCTTGTATTTTCATTACATCTTTCATCTGAAAATACTTAAAAGCACTTACAAGAACAGAGGGAAATGAAGGCCTTTGAAACTCTAGAATCTGAAATACTAGAATGTTGGCCCTCAAAGAGATTTAATTTTGGGAGGAAAAGGATTTATTTTCTCCTTCCCTTCTCAGTGAAGACTAACTCTAGAAAACTTGATGTACTGATACTGGCAGATTACAAACCAGGGAGAGCCTGAGAATGCCTGTGATGACTTAATCTGAATCCCTCTTCCTCCAACTACATTGCTCTTCCTGTAACTTGCTTTTGAACAAAGTAATGATCAAACTTCAAATATCTACAATCAACTTTAACTTTCTCTTAATGAAAGAGAAAATGCTACATTACAATAGAGTATGAAAATTACTTCTTTGGTGGTACAGCCTGAAAGGTGGTAATTTCCATCAGAGCGTCTTGTAACTCCCACTTGGCAAAGCATCTAGTGTCATGGGATGCTCTCAGAAAATTGCAGGCTTTGGGAATGTGCAAAGAATACGTAATGTGTGCTATATAATTATTAAGTACGAGTTCCCTTAGGCACAGGATGCAGTTAATAGCAACTTATTCAAAGATTATGCTGCACATGGGGATCATACCTTAGAAACAGGTATGTCACACTTGCAAAAGGAAAACACTTCATAGGTAAACGACACTCAGCTAGTCAGAAATATCAGGTCAACGGCACTGAAGAAAAAAATGAGGAGAGCTTGAGGGATACATCTATAGAAAATCATCCATCTCAGGAAGAAAAGGGAAGAAATGGTGCAGTACAGATCAAAGAGGGCGGCCAATTATGAATGGCACAGACTGCATTTCCCCCTTTGCTCATAGTGCGTGTCTTTTCAGAAAATAGAAAACAGAACAAAAAGACATCTTGCTCAAGAGATGGGTTTGATTTTTAAGAGGGAAACTGCAAAGTTTATACTGAAATCTAAGTGGCTTTGATTCTGATGCATCGAAGGGGAACACATGCACTTCTAGAAATGAATCCAAGCACCATTTACATCTGGTTTCTTAGAGGAATGAAATTTCCAGCTGACATTTTGTTACCATCACAGCATCAAAGATACTTACTCATGCTATGCCCACTGATACAATGCATTGGTTATGTGATCTCGTGCTCAGGGACTAGGATTAAATTCCCTTCAGACAACAAAGAATTTACAAATTAGAGAAATGGTGAAAAATAAAAATTATTTGTTTTCTGGTTCAAATTCTAACCTTTGCTGTTCACAACTAGGTGACCCAAGGTGACTCTTGATGGGCAGACTTCAGTATGTCAGCATACAGTTTTCTAATAGGCTGATAATTATCACCTTTGCTTTCTGCATACTTACTCAGAATAAATAGCAACATAAGCAGACAGCAAATTTCTTCCCAAAGTTCTCAAAGAGTACACATGCAGAAAAGACAGCCGAAGCAGGATACCCTAAAATGAGGCCTGTATTCTCAACACAGGAACGTGTGAATTCTTTACTTGGATAAATACGAATTGCAAAATTTAAGTTGGCTGGTAAACACAGCATTTCCAAGGACAGCATTTTATCTATAAAGAGTATTCACAACTGAATCACCAACTAATTCCTGAAAGGATGTTCCGCACGTGCCTCCTTATCAAAGTAAAGATCTCTGTTTAGTTTGTGAAGTGGGATGCAACAGTTTGGTATTTTATGGAAAAGAAATTACCTCCTTCCCTCTGTTCACTGTCCCTCAATCTAAACATACACAAGTCAAAATGCAAACATTGAGAGGATTTTTACTTAGAAGAGCAGAGCTACTCTTCATCCCCCACACACTATGCATTAGACAATGTTTGCCTAAGAAAATGGTATTGACTCTTTGGTTCATTTACGCAGTGAAAGTCCCTTTCCACCATCATTGATTCCATTTTAAACAACAGGAAAGGCCTTCATTTGGGCAGAAGAGTGCTCAGGTCGCAATTTCACTGCACCATTACATTGCTGCACATTATTAGAGTGCTCTGGTCCCATTCCCATCCTCAAGATGCCACATTCCATGTGACAGATTTCTTGATCCCTATGCTTGTTCCACAGAACTTTACAAGTTGTGATCTCATTAGCTACTATTAAACACTTTTAGCAATTAAGTTCTCTAAACAGAGGGAAAATATTAAACGTATTAGTAACTATAGGACTCTGTCAATGTGATATGAACACTCACAGGGGAGGGTTTCTTCCTCATCTCAAAGATCCGGGTAGCACCAAAGCTGAGCGAGGCAATGACAGGATTTTTTCCCAGTGATGGTTCATCATCACTGTGCCAGTCTACGCTATCTTTCTCATTTCGGTAGAGGTTGCAGAGAAGGGAGTTGAAGGTATAGCCAGTGAACTCTTCGATGCGCTCCTTTAGCATGGTCAGCAGAGGATGCCACTGTAATCAGCACAGCAGGAGTAGGGTAAATACAATGAAAGCAGGCCAGCAGCAGGTAACACCTAGACACACGGGGAAAACTACTAAGGAACAAAATATACCGCACTTTAATCACAATAAACTTGAAATCAAACAAATGCCTCTGAACAATTCTGATTGTGTTTTTACTGAAGGTGAGGAATGAGCTTTCTGTGAAATATGCAAATGCTACCTATCGCTCAACACTAAATCATCTCTTAAAATTATGATGCTAGTCTGTCTTTCATAGTAGTGTAGCCAGCCACCCCAATTAATTGAAAGGTGAGAAAGTAGAGAGAGTAGCCATGGTTGAAAAGACCATGGATAAACACTGGGAGTTCTTAACTGAGACAAAAAGCGTGCAACTTCTCCCACACATACCTGTTTTTTAACCTCCTGGCCAAGCTAGAGGACTTTAACACAGGGGTCTGACAACATCGGAGTTACCTAGCCACTGCTGGTGGGCATAGTGCATCCAGAAAATTGCAATCAGGGACTAAATGACGTGCTCTCAGTTGCCTGCAGCTTCCACACAGAACAAGAGACAACGGTTGGCCTAACATTGTCACAGCGTGTCCCTCTGTCCCTGCTCTGTTAGTACAGCTTGTTGAGCCCAACTCATCACCCCTTGGGGTTTCGACTTTGACATTGTAACTTTTCAGGGGTTTGCAAAACCAGTGTCACAGGCCCTGGATTTCATCCTTGCCTTTGCTAACATCTTGATGAGCCCATAGCCCACGGCAGCTCTGCAAATTCCATTACAACTCAGTCCAGTGAATCATTATTTAATGTTACAAACTTACATCATGACTTTCATCTGTCAGAGTGCTTTTAAGTACTACATAAGTATGTAACAAAAAAGCCAAAGCAATGTAGGCCAGTATTTTTGCCCATTATATAAGCAGAAACACAGATCAAGAGAGGATAAAGAACTGATTCCAAATCTCCCGGTGCACCACTGGCAGAAGGAGGAA